ATTGTAGAATTGTTAAATATGAAAGGAACCCCCTGATTAGAACTGAAACAAATCCGTTCCATAAATTCAAGTGTTTGTTTATGTTTAAAGAATCTTGTGCTTTGACGTGTAGCATAACCAGAGTTCGCTGCAGGTACGAGTTCTCTCCAGGCATCATACCTGAACTCAATTCTTAGTAACTACATGGATGTGTGACAGGTTTAAACAACACAGACAGACAGGAACTCAATTCACAGTAACCATGTGTGCATATTTCGAAGGTTAAAACTAGGGCTGGGTATGTTCCGACTTTTTGGAGATCGTTCCATTCCATTGTAGAACGGGGACCTTCAGCTAGAATCTTTCTGTTCACGATTGGAAACTGGAACTTAATTCTCTGCAACCACAGAAGTGGATATTTGTCAGCTTAAACATCATAAACCTGAACTCAATTCTTAGTAACCATGTGGATATTGGGCAGGTTTAAACAGAACTAAACTGGAACTTAATTCTTAGTAACCATGTGGATATTTGGCAGGTTTAAACAGAACTAAACCGGAACTCAATTCTCAGTGACCATGTGTATATTTGGCAGGTTTAAACAGAACTAAACCAGAACTCAATTCTCAGTGACCATGTGTATATTTGGCAGGTTTAAACAGAACTAAACCAGAACTCAATTCTCAGTAACCATGTGGATATTTGGCAGGTTTAAACAGAACTTGTTTTAGAGAAAGAATGGTATTCTCGCGGTTTAGAATAAGAATAATGGTTTTAGTCTTAGGGACTTTTAATCAAATAATTAAGGAGACAAGCTATCATCGTTTTCTCACAAATATTTATTAATAGTTTAAAATCAAATCAAGGTTTCTTTATTCTAGGCTTGGTATGGAATTGAGGAAAGGGGGTGTAGGGCATGGAGCGTTTGACGGCGAGGGCAGCAAATCCGTGACTGACTGCTTCCAGGCTGAATCCAGGCCGAGTTCAAACCACTGCCTGAGTCTGGCCTTTTTATCCAACAGGCTCTTGCCAGCACAATCCCACCATATGAATCAGGGGTGAATTTTTTGATCCATCTCCAACCAATTCTAAAATAAGAAAAAAGGCAGTATCTCTTTAGGCAATATATCAACATACAATCAAACCATTCCAATTCACTTTTAAATTCTTTATTATTTCTCTTCAATCTTTCTGAAAATGTATTTTCTCCTTCTAAGTCGATTCTCCAGAATAGAAAAAAGAATTGTAAAAAGGGATTAATATTCCTAGTTTAAAGATTTTGATGTTTCTTTGTGAAGATATAATATCCCTGTACAACCTAGAAAAAAGAGAAAATGTTAATAAATTCATACTGTATCACCCTTTGTCCTTCTTATTCAGATAACTTCCGGGGCTGATTTCCAAGCATTGACAGATCAAGGATAGAGGGATGTCAGAAGGATAGATGACAGACTGAATTGGAGCTTTAAAAGACATTGTTTGACCTAAAAACCTTGTTTCAAGTATTTTCGTCGAAGACGACATTTAAAACTGTCTTGGCATTGATAGACGCTCAATTTCTAAGTCAAAACTCAAAAATGGTCAACTTTTAGTCTCCGTACTTAACACCATTCCGACAAAGTACACCACAAGAACTTAATGACATAAGAACAGTTAATGTTCACAACCGACCTAGTTAATCAATATAATAGGAATATCTTTGAAACATCTCTGTACATTTATATCTTTCAAGATGAAAAATGCCGTCTTATGCGCAATCTGTCTTTATCTATGCGTAAAACCTTTTAAAAATCTAAAAATATTAAAAGTTTCTGTTAAACCTATATATCTATTGCCTATCTCTGCATGAGAGATCATTCTTTATAAATGTTAGTCATCTACTTACATTACATTCTTTCTATGATAATATAATTTCTAAACGTTTTTTAAAATAAATCAAGTCTTTGCCACAAACTCAAATGTTCTAATTCCTAAACATTTACAACCTAATCGTGTAAACTAGACATAAAACATAGAAAATAGAAGCAAAGAGAAGCAGTCATTAACAGTCATTTGAGAAAAGCTTGTTAAAAATCAAAATTTTTTTTCATTGTATTGATAAAAACTTACCACTGTGCATATTTCATCTAAAGTTTAATTGTGGAACATTTTTTTTGATATTGTGCAAGATAACCATAATGCATTGAGATACTGCACTGTTCAATTATACTTGACTGTAGTTGAAAGTTAGGGTTTGACAAATGATTAATTTGAATTAAGTTAAACTAATTAAATCTAATAACTTGCTTTAAGCAATCTAATTAGATTTCTCTTTGCTTCTCTTTCACAAATTACCAAAGTAATTTCGCAACTTTCTTGAAACAATTAAAATGTGAAAATTGTGAAACAATTAAAAAAGCCGGAATTTTGTAAGAAAGGAAATATTTTTGAACGTTAATAAACAATTGTTTTAAGGTTGTTTGAGGTTTTTTTAGGTTTATTATTTTATAAAATTTAGAAATGGGTTTCCTGTTTATAGAATTTTTATTCTTGAAGATATGATTATTGTAAAATAAAATATTTTTCTGTTTTTAAAAATATTTTTGGAACAAGAGCAAAAAAAAGTGATATTTATAAAATAGGTTTATCTGAACTAGTAAAAAAAAAGAATTGATTATTTGTGCCAAAATCAATTTTTGTAATTTCTATATCTTTGCAACCTGAATGTGTACATTTTTCAAACTTAGATACTCTTATCTTAAAGAAATCATAGTTTGAACTATCTACAGTTTCCTATATTTGATAGCAAAGATAAGCCCAAAACAAAGACTTAAGTCCTCTGTGGGTTTAAAAATTGCCAAAATTCAGACAAAAAGAAAAAAGAATTTTAATTTTTAGAAATATACTAATCTCCAACCATCATGACTATGCAGCAGAAACATTATTAAAATTAATGAATGTGTTAATTATAAATAATTAATGCTCTGAAACTTAATGTAATATTTAGCTAAAATGCATCTTGCTGAAACTTCAAAGCTTCAAAAAAAGAAGAAAAAAAAAAAACAATCTTTTTAACCAATAAAATGTTTCAAAATTAAAAACAATTTTTGAATTTACTCTCTGAAAAAACTATAAACTATTTTAACAAAAATAGAAACCAATTAAATTGAAATAAATCAAAAGACAAGTGTAATTCAAAGATTTATTGTACAATAAGGAGGGAAAAATTTAACTTTTTTTTAAAAATCGTTCCTTAACAACGTAGAAAAAACCATAACGATCGTTTAAAAAACATCTTTGTTAAAAGGATCGTTTTCCAAAAAATAAAAAAGTAGAATTGTTCACTGTAGGATATGACCGAACTAGTATTTAAAACGTGAATAGTCATTTCTTGATTACTCCCGAAAAAATGCAGAGAATAACAAAATGTGCAAATAATTAATATGTTTAATTTGGCGTTAATGAGGTGTAATCAGGGAATAGCGGAAATGCAGTAGATAAATGCATCAAACAAACCTTCTAGCCCACTCCAAATGCACATTTCTACTGCGCAATTAAATACATTAAAATCTGGAAAATACAAGTTTGGATGAAGCAGGATTTATTAAAGCCGAAATTGTGACCAATCATTGAACACACACGCAAATCATTATTCTGATGAAAGCAGAACAGTAATTACGATTATTTATGCTGGTTAGGACTTAAGTAGCTTCACAAAAACAAAATTCGAAATTACTAATACAACTTTGCGACCTCGTATGAGAAAAGCTTATTTGGTTACACATTAGAAATTCAAAACATGTTTGTTTACAATTATTTTATAATTTAAAATATTTCTTTAATAGAAATTGCTGATTTTAGAATAATTAAGTTACAAATGACTGACATATGTTTTAGGTATTTCAAAGCTAAGTATTTTTCCCGCTAGTTGCCAAACTTTTCTGGTTCTATGGCTCATGAAAACTTTTGCTTTTTCAAACTTTGACTTTTTGATCTAACAGAATTAGAAAATTTGAGTTTGTTGCAAATACTTAATTCCTTTATACAATTTTTCTGAAGCAAGAAATGTGCATGTGACCAATATACCGAGCCCTGATAGTGGAAGTCTCTAGAGTCCAATCTGTAACTGGTCAGTAGTACCCATAGCTCACAATAACCAATATTTTGCAACGTGATTCATTGCTGCTAAAATTGGTAAATATGGTTTATCAATATTCACATAAAATAGTACTGCTTCAAATCACTAAGATCCATATTTTAATTCTGATTACACTTTCACAAAGAAAATACTTTCCAACTCTAATGTCAGCATCATAAATCTTTGCATCCTGGATGATGATGTGAGACTATATTTTTCTAACGATGACTTTTAAATCTAGCAGTATTCATCATAATCATGATCTACAACATCAAGTTGAAAAGAAATATTGATTAATTATAGGGATAGTTTTTTTTTGTATATGCACTTACTGTACACTGTACAGAGCACATTTTAAAGGGAGTGACCGGCTATGTAAGGTAGTTGAACTGTGTATGCAGTGTTGTGGAAAACTTCTTTCGGATTCATTTGAGACATATAAAACTTTTTAAAGATCTGTAAATCCTGAGTTTGAGCGCAAATTCGACGTAAAAAACTTCTACTTTGGGGGTGGATAGGTTTTCAGAGTTAGTTTCTTTTTAATTATTAAATTCAGTTTGACTACCTTACATAGCCGGTCACTCCCTTTAAGCATAAATACAGGGTTGAAAAGATAGAGATTAGAAACATAGATTTTGTTGCTAGTAATTGTGTCTTACACTTTCCAATTACTTAAATCAGACTTACCCTTGTATAATCAAACAGTCTTACACTTGTATAATCAAACAGACTTACACTTGTATAATCAAACAGTCTTACACTTGTATAATCAAACAGACTTACACCTGTATAATCAAACAGACTTACACTTGTATAATCAAACAGACTTACACCTGTATAATCAAACAGTCTTACACTTGTATAATCAATCAGACTTACACTTATATAATCAAACAGACTTACACCTGTATAATCAAACAGACTTACCCTTGTATATAATCAAACAGACTTACACCTGTATAATCAAACAGTCAAAAGAAAGAAAAAAAATATTTTAAAGCATTTTTAAAAATTATTTTGTCAAAATCCTAAACTATTGATGATTTATTCCCAATACTAAGAGTTAAACACTTTAAAGCAAAGAAAGCCCATAAATCTCCCGTCTACCACATTACATATATTTATGTTTGATACGGGGTGGAGAGGAGGGGTAAAAAAATAAAAGGAATTGAGTCTTTGCCACAAACTCAAGTTTTCTAATTCATATATCTTTGCAACCTGATGGTGTACACCTTTGATACTTCAAACTTAGCTCAGTTGATCCTAAAGACGTCATAGTTTGAAATATTTTATGTGATGCAAAAACTCAATTACTTTTTGTATAAAACTTCATCCTTGCAGTTCTTAAACCGTACTCATGTTAAAACCGCACTCAGGGCAAATTACTTTATGCCTCCCCCCCCTCCTCCCACCTTTTACCCTCTGTAATTAATATCTCCCATAATTAAATCCTTAATCCCTGGTCTCATCTTGTGAATATCAATCCGTTCCTTAACTAACATACACAGATTTGTTTAAATGTTGATGTCTGATTTCGAATTTTATTTTTTAAAACTACCAGAACTTTCAAAATAAATTCGAAGTGTGTCTTCTTTCCTTTCTAACATGTCGAAATTAATAATTAATATTCTCTGTGAGGAGGAAGTTTTATAATTATCATCTGAGTAACTCGACTTTCTTTTTTACTCATCAATCCTTTTAGATGAAAAAATAAGCTATAATTAAAAATATAAAAAAAACGATTCACTTTATAAATAAAAAAACGTTCAAACTTTTAATCCTTGAATCTCACCAACCTGAGGTAAAAAGCTCTAATCTTTAATGCACATTTGAAAGTTTAAAATTATATAAGTATTAAAGATAGTTCAGAATAAAGGTATTAAAGAATGTATCTAATCCGTAGAACTGAACAAGCTATAATGAACATATTGATCCACGGACTCCCAACTCATAAGTTTCAACCTCTGAAATAGAAAAACATGGATAAAACAATCAAAATATGAAATTTCAAAGCTGTACACCTTCATGTTGCAAAGATAAAGGATTAACAAATTTTAGTTTGAAATTCATATTAGATTGATTTAAGTCTGAACCTAACTACTAAACCAATTCAGTTCCATATAGTTTGGATATTATTCTGGTATAAAGTTAAGTATATAGTTTGGATATTATTCTGATATAAGGTTAAGTATATAGTTTGGATATTATTCTGGTATAAAGTTAAGTATATAGTTTGGATATTATTCTGATATAAAGTTAAGTATAAAGTTTGGATATTATTCTGATATAAAGTTAAGTATATAGTTTGGATATTATTCTGATATAAAGTTAAGTATACAGTTTGGATATTATTCTGATATAAAGTTAAGTATATAGTTTGGATATTATTCTGATATTAAGTTAAGTATATAGTTTGGATATTATTTTGTGTGGAAAAAACAGGATCGTAAGTTTTTTACTAACTGCAAGGTGCACAGGTATAATTTAAATTAAAAAGATATTTTTCGATTTAAATTCTCAATTTAATGTATCACCCATTTCATTAGAACTAACTTAAACTTTTCCTTCTTTGTAAGATACCAATGGAAACTTATCTAGTACACTTTACAGAACTAGGTTTACAAATTTGTTTTCTTGTTTCAGGAGTTTTACCAGTTCATAAACTTTAAACTAACATCAAGTGAGAACTTTTGAGTAAAATGGCGCTAATCCTCAACACTGTGGAAAAATATATATTTAAAGTTATTAATCCATGAAAATCAGCTGACACATATGTATGGGATCCCTAACTATTACATGTCTCTCATTTTAGGCTTGCAGCGGGGCTTTTATACCTGCATCTGCCTGAGTCCTCAGACATACTAATGCCTTATTTTACCTTTACTATACTTAATCAATATTTAGACCTATTTCCGGTCATTGGATTTCGACTGTATATAGCTCTTTAGAAAGCCTTGAACAAAAGGAAGCAGATTTTTTGCGAAAAAATTTTGTATAGATTTTTGCAGAGATGCCTTTAAAGAAAATTTGCACATTTTCATTTTTTTTGATATTTAGTTTTTGAAAATTCGCTGTGGCTAAGGCTTTTCAAAAATGTTAAATTTATC